CTCTCTGCCTCATGAAGTCAGTTGCTCTCTCTCTCTCTCTCTCTCTCTCGGTGCATGCTGGGAGTGTTTGGGTGCGTGTGAGGGTTCACACGAGTGAGGGTGAGCGTGTGCTTGTTTCAAACTTTTCTAAATTTTTGTTTCAAGTTTCCTGAGTAAACTTTTTTTGTTGTGATAAGAGTATTTTGAGGATTAGTTAGGGAGCGGGATGGCGTCCCTTACGCCACCTGTCTCCATCCGCCATGGAGTCAGGTGTGTGACGGCGAACGGGGTGAATGTGGAGGAAGTGCTACTTGCAGTTGGACAGGAGATCGGCTATGAAAACATTTCATCTGCCTCGCGAATGAACAAAGCGGTGGTTGTGTTTTTAAAAGAAGAGAACCATGTGAATCATCTTATAAGCAGCGGAATAGTGGTAAGTGGAGACTTTGTTACTGTTTTGCCGCTGGTTGCTCCAACTATTAAGGTGACTGTGTCAAACGTGCCGCCTTTCATCCAGAGTAATGAGATAGAACGAGAGCTTTTGCGATATGGTAAGTTAGCTAGCGCAATTAAAACCGTTCCTCTTGGATGTAGAAATGAAGCGCTAAAGCACGTAATGTCGTTTAGAAGACAGGTTTTTATGTTCCTGAATGAACAGGCGTTAGACGTGTCTTTTAAAGTTTGGCATGAAGGAAGAGCGTACATGGTTTATGCAAACACTGGGAATATGAAATGTTTTGAGTGTGGAGACGTTGGGCATAAGCGTTTAGCATGTCCGCATAAAGCTCAAGCTGATGAGGCCGTTGGTCCTGTGAAAGATCCTGAGAACGTGCAGTCTGTAGAGGAGGAAGAGGATGAGCCTCAGGGAGCTGAGGAAGCTATTGTTGTAGTAGAGGAAGATGAGCCTCAGGGAGCTGAGGAAGCTGTAGAGGAAGATGAGCCTCAGGGAGCTGAGGAAGCTGTTGAATTAAATGAAGAAAATGACAACCAAACTGAGGAAAGTGGGATTGTGAATAATGAAACAACAGGAATGGTGGGAAACAAAGTAATGAGTGAAGATAGGGAAACTGTTGCAAGTAGTGGAGGAAATGGTGTTGGAAGTGAGAATATTGGTGATGCAGAAATGAGAGATGAAGATGCTCTTTCTGAGTTTTCAGAAATTGGGTCACAAGTGATTGAAGACATGTACCCTTTAGAGGAAATTAATGACTTTCTGGATACAACATTCGGTAAAATTGTAGAAGTAGAAGATTTTTTTCCAGATGTGGACAAATTTATAATATCAGTGTTGTTTCTGCAAAAAACAGTGAGCTATGAAGTTTTGGATAAAAAGAAAAGATTCAGGCTGAAAAAGATGGTAACGAAGTTGAGGAGAAGGAAAGCGAAAGTTTAAAAACAGCTTAGATATGAATAAGTCACAAGTGGTGTTCTTTACTCTCTGCTCTTTTTTTCAGTTTCTGTCTTTTTCTTAATTCTCTATATGGATGTGTGGAGAGTGGGTTCATTAAATATTAATGGGGGTAGGGACAAGAATAAATTAGCAAAGATTTCTGAGTTTTTAAGAATCGAAAAGGTTAATGTTTGTTTTTTACAAGAAACGCATACAGACACTGATAATGAGGTCGAATGGGGGTTGTGGTGGAAAGGAAAATTTGCCTTGAGTCATGACACAAGAAATAGTGCGGGGGTAGCTATTTTATTTTCTAAAAGTGTGAGTATTGTAAAGATAGAAGAAATTGTGAAAGGAAGATTACTTTTAACACAAATTGAGTATAATGGAATAGAGTCTGTATTTGTTAATGTTTATGCTCCTAATAATGGTCCAGAGAGGCTGATATTTTTTATGGAGTTAAGGAAAGTGCTAAAAAAATATGATGATAATGTTTGTCTAATACTTGGAGGTGATTGGAATTGTACAATAGACTTTGTTGTTGATAGGAATGGAGAAGAGCCTCATAGTAAGTCAAGGGATGTATTAAAAAAAGTTATAAATGAATTTCAGTTAACAGATGTATGGAGAACGAGGAATGAAGGAGTAAAGCAGTATACGTGGCTAAGAGTGGTTGATAATAGAATTAGTGGAGCGAGATTGGATAGGTTTTATCTAAAAAAGACATGGAACAACAAGGTGATGAATACTTTTATTAGACCTAATGGTTTTTCAGACCATCATATGGTCATATTAGATGTTAATTTGGAAAAAACATGCAGATCTAATTATTACTGGATTTTTAATATTAAGTTATTACAGGATGTCTCTTTTTGTGAAAAGTTTAAAGTTTTCTGGGATATTTGGAAATTGAAGAAAAATTCTTTTGAAAACCTAAGTCAATGGTGGGATGTGGGCAAGACAAATATAAAAATGTTTTGTCAAAACTATGCTTTCCACTCATCAATTATACTGAAAGCAACAGTGAAAGCTTTACAAAGTGACATTGAGTTCATTGAAAGACAAGCTGTAAATAATAATGAAGCTGTACAGTGTCATGGGTTAAATAAGAAAAGACAAGAGCTAAGCTCT